GTGCCTCTAACGTAGTGAGGAGATTAGTCACCGCTATCAGCGGTGAATACTCCAGGAACGAACCTAAAAAAAAAAAAAACCAAGCTTATAGGATGAGTATGATCCAATTCAACTTACTAACCAGTTCAATCCAAAATTTGATTTTGGCATATTCGAAATTTTGAATTTAGAATCAATGTGGTTTGAAGGTAGACATTTTTCACTTACCTTCGAGGTTTGATAGACATGTTTCAGCTTAATTATCATATTGTCATAATTAGAGATGAATGAATTCTCTGGGGACTCATGAATAGATCCCCTTCTACCTCTGCAACACAAAAGATAAATAAATCAGGAGCTATAAGTCGCAACATTTTGTATTATTATTTTCAAAGTGTGAAACTGAGAATGAAATTAAATAAATAAAAGAAACTAAATAGTGTATTATTCCTTTATCTTAATCTTGTATTATTCTTATAATAATATAAATATCATAGTCCAACAATATGAAAAAGTAAAAGTAAATTTTATTGCAAAGAAAATAACATAAAATATAGAAGTCATTTACTAACCATATAAACAACTTTACAACACTCAACACAACTTCATCTTCATACTTAGCAACTCAAAATAACACAAGTGATCTTTCTCTCAATTAACATCTTTACAACTCAACATTTTAACTTAACAACTTAATAATATATTCAACAACTCTATCACATATATATCTATCACATATATATTGCAACGATTCGTCATGATCCTTGCACTTAACGGATCGATCACCTACTTGTAACAAAAAACATACAAGTTCCTACCTAGGTTAACATACATGTAGTTCTTGTATATACACTTAATAATATATACTTACATTGTGTAATAATTCTCACCCACAACTAAAATACTATACTAGTACATATGTATATAAAATAATCTAAAAAAAATAAAATGTATGAACTTAGGTTGTCGGTCAAGTAATACTATAATATCTATGCAAAGGTAGCATAAAGCTACAACACCATTCAACATGGCTATCACTCTCTAAACGCCTCTAGCTTAACCCTACCTTACTCTCATGTAAACATGATCATCGCACTTCAACCACTAGAAAATATGCAAGGGTAAGTTAGTGAACAATAAAATAATCATATATAAAGTATAAAAGTAAAACAATTATACTAACAACAATATCATGTAAACCATACACAAATCCCCTTATATGGCTTACAACATTTCAACATCACAACAAATGTTCAACATGACATTCAACAACCTTAAAAGATAAACAATCTCATCATACACCAATAACAATGCCAACTAACAACCAAACAAGCAACATATGAACAACACTAATCACTACATCATATGCACAACACCTCAATTACATGTGTCATCACACATTCACTTATGAAGATCTCATACAATAAAGATGAACAATGTAAGTGGTTTGGCCCTACTAGAGTAAAACGATTTTTTTACAACTACTAGATCAATAGTTAAGTTGGGATACCAATCCCTAACAACACAATTTCTCAAAAGTTATTAATTAAACTAGGAAGTCTAGTATTTTTTCAAGATATCCAGATAGGCAAATACTATGCCTTTCTAGTAGTCGGTTAGAGACTAAGTCTTTGACCTTGTACCTTACTTAGTTGGTCATTTTATACACAAATGTTTCGACCTTGTCCATATACAGATCAACATTGGTCACTTATAGTTGATATGTTTCGACCTGACCTATATACCACATTAATTAAAGTCATAGAGGAGACTTAACTATCCATTCAAGTGTTCATTACTCAAGAAAGGTTTTCAATAATAGGCTCGTACAACACCACACCAATATCCTTATAATGGGACATTCGATTTTCAAAAATACCCTTTCCTCTGGTATTAAGTTGATCATGCCTAAATGTCTAAAGCATTCTCAACATCAACGCCTCAACAGTTCAACAATTAGCAACACATATCATGCCTAAATGCCTAAAGTATTCTCAACACCATCACCTCAACATTCAACAATTCATCAACATAACGTGCCTAAATGGCTAGAGCATTCTCAGCATCAACGGCTTAACAATTCAACATTTATTTATCTATATGCATTATTCCACATCAATGAATATAGAACTAATAACATTAAACAACATCAAATATGCAATAAATTCACCTAACACATTATTTGAGTAATTATAAAGTTCTTAGTGCTTTTTGCCCGACTCAATCCATTTTCAAGGTGGGCTAGGTTAACACATGGATTAGAGCTTACTTTGACAACTCTAATTTAATCCATCGACTTCATACCTTACTTTATTTATTCACTTCTAAACCAATATGGTTCGATATTTTCTCTATACGGTATCAAATAAGGACTTAGAGAAGACTCAACATTTTACTTCAAAAGATAATAAACTCAAGAAAGTTCTTTTTTTTATTTTTTTATTTTTATATATATTTTGGACTCTTAGAGCACCGCAACACATATCTACACAATGAAATATCTCAACTTTCAAAACAATACCTTTTTCTAGTCCTAAGTTCACAACACAATTCAATAACATGCATCATCAACATGCTTATATAACACAACTCAACAACATATATCATGCATCTCACAATATTGTTCAATTTAACAAAATTCATCATGAATATTCTCAACACAAACCATCTCAACTTACTTTTTAACATAGTCTTTCATTATAAACAACACAACGACTTTATGCTATAGAATTTCAAAAGAAACTCACTCTAAGCTCAACTGGACATGCTTTGAGGGAGCCAAATTCGCTCTAAGCACTCAACAACCAAATAAACAACACACAACCATTCTATATGAATCAAGATTATCAAGTCTCTTTTCATTCCACCATGAACAATGAAAAACCTAGAACATTAAGACTTTCACTTCTCAAATTCAACATCAAAGTCACCAATAGACAAATCAATACAATAATCAACACATACAACACAATAAAGATTGATCTACGAGCTTCCTTTATCTTAGATCCTCTAAAAATTAGGAAAGGAAGGAAGAACGACGAAGAACAAGACTTCCCAAACACATTCTCTACAACAAACTTAACCTCTGATTCTTAGTTCCTTAACTTCAAATCTCAACTCAACCACCATGATCTCTATTTCAAGGAAGAATCAAAGCACTTTTATGATGTTAGAAGAAAAAAAGGTCTCCTTCGCCTCTAAAGTCTATCTCTCTAAAATATCTCTCTAGAAATTCTAAAAAATGAATTTATGAAGTTAAAATTCATAGAAAACCTTATATATCTTGTCCCAAACTTGGTAACCCCAATACAAAAAACCACAAAAACCAAACTCATAAAAAATTCTTAATCCCAAGAGTTTTAAAATACTAAAACAACACATCATCATAATTTAATTAAATATTAAAATTAAAATAAATAATAGCTCACAACATAGTACTACAAAATTTAACTTGAATATTATTAAATATTGTTTATTATATCATCCACAGAGTGTCGAATCAGGATTAACGTTAAAATTTTAATGATTAATAAATAAACATTCAACAAGCGATCAAAATTATAATTTTTATAAAATTGAGGAACTAAAATTACAGATTTTAACCAGAAAGTGACAAAAATTTAACTAGAAAAATCGATATTATGAAATGAAAAAAATAATTTAACCAGAAAACAAATATAAATAAAGTTGAATAATAATTTGTTAACTCAAACAAGTATAAATAAAATCAAATAGTCAAATAGCTTTCTAACCACTTAAATAAGAAAAAGTAATTTATTAACTCAAATTATACTTTGTTTGATTTTGTCCAATTAATATTTTGGGCTAATAATGTTAATCAAGTAATCAATATATCATTAAATAGAAAAATGTTTATTAAAGATATCTTCAATATTTAAAAACAAATCAACATTTATTTCAAAGTGATTGAATATATTGAATAAAATATTTCAAATACCATTCTATTATTTATATTTTTAATTTGAATATCAAATTATTATAATAGTAAATATATTTTTAGTCCTTTAAATTTAAAATAAATTTATTTTTAAAAATTAAAAATTGTTTTTTAGTCATGTAATTTTAAAAAAATTATTTTAATCCTTCAAATCATTAATAATATATTCAAAAATAATAAATTACAACAATTATGTAACATTAAATAATTTAGTATTATATTTTTATTAAAAAAATATCTATAAATAAATTTTGTATACAATATTTAATAAATTCTCAAATGTTTTCTCTTTGTATCAAATCACCGTAGTAGTAAAATAATACTTCTCATTGCAAATGTACTCTCACGATAATTGTTAAAACTTAAAATAACATTTCTTTCCCTTTCTCTTTCTTTAACCAATTATTTTATCACACTCCTTAGAAAATTGTCTATTTCGAAGTGGATTAATTATCCCGAACTAACTAATTGACCCAAATTACTACGTCAACTCTGTCATATTCTTGTTTTTCACGTGTTAAGATCTTTTGCAAAAAAAAAATCATAAAATCCCTCATATATGTAATTTAACGAAGTTAAGCCTCCAAAACTAACGTAATAAAATATCAAATTTAGTGCCTATCAAAAAAAAAAAAAAAAATCTAGCGAGGACATTGAAACTTTGTACCAAAACAAATGAGGATGTTCAAATCAGCATTATTATTTCTGCAAATTGAAATGAATGGCAGTGGGAATGTACCAAAACAAGTGGTATTGTGACCACAACAAATGCAAGCGTATTTAAACTGTCAACGTCTAACATTAACACAATTGATATTTTGATTATTTAAATATATAGACAAAAAATTGATTTTTTTACATGCGAGTGATTTTTTTTATAAAAAGAAAGAGATAAAAGTTACTATGATAATATCTGTGTTTCAATTGTCTATCAGGTATACCTTTGTTCGGAAAAAATAAATAAATACATGGAATGAATTCTTTTGTGGTTCAACAGAGCGTGACCCCAGAGATTTTCTCTCTCTATTCGTAATTTTTTTTCCCACATATTATTTTATTATTATTAGACATACATTCCATGGAGAAAGATAAGTATTGATGAGTAACTGTTTGAAGTTGTTGTTGTGTTCCAGAATAAATAGCAGAAAATGAAACTCTCATGAGTTCTGTCTGATTGCATAGCATTGGTTGGTAGTTGTCTCAAAAATCTCTTGCCCTTTGGCAATAATCAAAATCCAAGCTACTGTTCATCAAGCTACACAATCATCACTTGGTTCCACTGCAAAATTTCACTTATTCTTATCTCCATACATTTGATTGAAGTATTTCTTCTCTCTCTCTCTCTTCACTTTTCACGTTTCTGTTTTTTAGTTTTTCCATCTTCATGTCTATCCTCTTCTCATATGAGTCTAAAGGTGTTGTATATATAGCATACTGCTTGTGCAGCTTGTGTGGTACTTGAAATTTGAAAACTTGATCTGTCTTTGCTTAGTTATTTCATTTTCAGCACCCCTTTGGGTCATGTTTTGGTTACCCCAACTGTCTTTCTGTCCATCTTTCGACAATTATTGTAAAGTTCCCTTTTTTTAATTCTGTCTTTTCACCTTTTCAAAGTGAATTTCTGGGATTTTTTGCTTTCAATTGAGGGCACAAAATTCAATAACTGACTGGGTTTTCCATTTGTGTTGCTGGGTCTATGAGATTTGAAGTTTTTTTCATCCTTTTTGGCATGTGGATCCTAAGTTCATGACTTGCCTTTTTCTCCAACCAATTTGCTTTGTTGCTAAATAAATTGTTCCTGTCTGGCAAAGGTTTTTGAGTCTGTAGTGCTGGAAAATTGATTTTTGTGATCATTGATGATTATTTTTTTTACCTGAGGAGGACCTTCAATTTTTCTTTTTTCAATATTGATGTTTTTTCTCTCTCACAAATCTAGTCTCTGAAGTTAGAGATTTCATAAGGGTGTATTGTGTTAATTTTCCTGTTTGTTTCATATTCAAGCTCAATTCTGGTTGTGGGTTTGTCATTTACTGGAAGACAGGCTTTGAGGTTATTTCTCATCCCAAAAATTGCTCTTTTCTCTCTGCAACTTAAATCTAGTATCAAAGTGTTCTAAATCTCTCCAAGATCTCTCTAGTGCACTGCATTACTGGTTGAAAGTGGGATCTCTAGGGTTACGCCATGAATGATTGATTTTCCTCTTAGAATAGGGACCTTTAATCCTGAAGAACTATGCTGAAAATGAATTGGGGAGTGTTTCCTAGTTTGCATCTTTGACATTGAAATCATTGCTTTGTTTTAAACCATAAGCAATAGTAGCATTTCCTAAACATTTATTACTAAACTAGTAGAGAAAATTTTGTTAGAAACTAAATTCTGATATGCATTTCAGGTTAGAAGTTCAAGTTTAGAGAATGAGTCATCCTAAGATTAAGCGCCGAGTTGGTAAATATGAGGTAGGGAGGACCATTGGTGAGGGTACATTTGCAAAGGTGAAATTTGCAAAGAACTCTGAGACTCAACAGCATGTGGCTCTTAAAATTCTTGACAAGGAGAAGGTGCTCAGGCACAAGATGGCTGAACAGGTTGAATACATGAGTTTTTTTTTTTTTTTTTTTTTTTTTTTTTTATGGACAGGGGAAAAGAAG